TCCCATTGTGTGAGCTTCCATACAAAAAGGTCAGATTCTTCCCTCAATAGTCCCATTTATGCTCACAGTGACAGTGCAATGGCTTTTGTTCAACAAAGAAAAACCTCTCTTTTCAAGGACTTAAGTCCCCTGCAACTCCCACATGAATTATTCTTTAGGTTTAACAAAGTACCCCCAATTCACAGAAATCCTGAGGGAGAACTTAGAATTTAAACAGTTGTTAGTACATAATAACAGGAATCTGTGATTTCAAAGCAGGAGAATCTTATTTTTAACCTGGGAAAGCTCCCCGGGTACATGGCTTGAGAGGACTCCAAAATGAGGCAAGACCCACCTGAAGCAACCAGAGAAGTCAAATGGGAGCAATAGAAGCCTGGGTTCTAATCCCAGCTATAAGCTCTTGAACTTGAATGTGATCTTAGCCATGTTATTTAACCTCTCTAAATCTGTTTCTCATCTTAGAATTCATAACAGTATCTATAGGGTTTTGTGAAGTTTAAAAGAACAGCACAGGGCACACAGTAATTCTCCCTAAATGCCAGCTAACACACTGCTCTTACCTGCTTGGTGTTTCCTGCTTTGCAAAGCACTATCAACACATCCAAATGAGACTTCGAAAATTCTAAATTTCCTTTCATTAATTTCATATCTCAGAGCCTGCAATTCATACTCATATATTCCATGAGATTGTGTTAGAGGCAGGTAACTAAGAAGGGGTCCTCATTTGAGAAGAGAGCTCCTCTAGGGCCCCGAGTGGTAAAGTGATGTGGCCAGGAACCTGGGATAACAGATGAAGTCACCAAGACTATCACCAAGCCTCTCAGCCCCATATCCAGTGCACTGTTTACCTCAGCCATGCCAGGCAGGGGCTTCTGTATTGTCAGACCTCCTAGCACCCTTCTCATTAAGTGTCTCATGGACATTTCCTGCGTTGTAATTAAGCACTATAAAGGAGTTTGAGAAGGAGCAACATAGAATCTTGTATATAACCTTGAGCAGCTTTAAAACTCACACATAAGAATACTCATATTAGCTTAGGTTGCCCATCTTTTTATACCAGTTTTTATTTTATTTTTAACTTGGGATTTAAAGTTGACAAAAACCTTAATGAATAGGCAGAACAAAGGGAGTTGTGGTCCATGGCTCGTTAGCTTCTGAAGTTAATGCTTCTCACAGGGACAAGTCAGCCAAAGGACAGAGCTCCAAGCAAATTGGAAACCATTCCTGTAGCCCCAGATCATGGGGTACTGCCTGGGCTCTGAGTGGCAAAGCTTATGGGACTCTCTGTAGCTTCACCCAAGATCCACCTATCAGTTAACCATTCATTCTGTATCTTGACAACATCAACTGTTACTGGGTATCATGTATGCCAAGGACATGAGTGACCTCATTCAAGCCTCACAACTACCTATAAATAATGTACTACCTACTCCATCTAATCTAAAAACCACTGACTGTAAGACACACCATTATTTTATGCTCCGAAAAATGAAGACACTGCCAATTACAACTCTAAGGTCCCACAGATGATATGTTTTGGGTTTTTTTTTTTTTTAATGTTAAAATGGTACAAATTGCACTGTATTATCATTGTAAAAATGTGAATATTGTCCCACTTTAATGATAAATAAACTGAGATACAGAGAAAATAACTTACTCAAAGTCACAAAAGGGTAAGTAGAACCATTGGGATTCAGAACCTAGAAGTTTAGTCACCTTTTCACAGTAGTAAACCCCTATTTTCCCAAGGGCATGTAATACTCAAAACTGCACATGGCAGAGCTGCTAACTTGTCTCCACCACAGCACAGAAACCTATTAACTGGGGCTAGGGTTGTGGCTCAGTGGTAGAGTACTTGCCTAGCATGTGTGATATATACATATCTTAAAAAAAAAAAAAAAGAAAAGAAAAGAAACCCATTAACTGGCAATTCTCTGAACGTCTCTGAACCTGACCTCTCATGTGTCTACTCAAGCAGACTCTACGCTAGATTACTCCTCATAAACTCTATTCCTCTCTCAGGAAAAGAAACATGGTCAATGGAAAAGCACCTTGAGAATCAGAAAGTCCTAGATAGAAATTCCTGCTTGTCACCCTGGCAAGTTATTGAATCACTCTGAGCTTTAGTTTCCTCTTCTGTAAAGAGAGGCCAACGTGGCCACCCCAAGAGGCTACTGCAGGATGGAGAAGACACACACAAATGTCAGGACATTGTAACTGGCAGAGCTAAAACTCAACAATGCCTTCTTTTTAATGCTAGTCACCTCTGCTTTGGGACAGAATCAAAGACAAAACATTCTCTGTAACCACAAGAGCTGCCAAGGGGGGATACTCAGGAGATAATAAGGATGGACAGAAGACAGAAGACCCCAAGAGAAATTCAGGCAAAGAAATTAACTGGAAGTACCTGGAAAAAAGGGCCAGTGTTTTTTTTAAAGGACTTTCCAATTTCTGAGTAAATGAAATGACAGGCAAAAGGGATTAAAAACAAAAACTAAAACAAACAGGCACTTACCATTAAAACATCAGTCAACAGACATGAGGATGAATACTGTTTTATACCAATGTGACACACAAAACTGGTCTCTGGAGACTCAGTTTGATACCAGAGTAATCTTTAAGAAGAATTAGTGAGAAGAATTGCTTCATTACTTTGTTTTGTTTTTACATTAAATAATATTCTGTGCATTTCTTCTTTACTATACTTAAGGGCTTCAGAAAATCCTCAGAAAACAGCTTCTGATTTTGGAAAGAAGACCAATCATATGGCATGTAAAAACAAACTCTTCCCCATTTTTTCTTCCTTCATATTCATAATGCCTAGCAGTTTTTTGTACACCACAGACTCCCAATAAAAATTAGTTGGATATTTCTTTCTTAACTCTAGGCAACTTTTTTTTAAATCTGAAACATCCTACACATTTATTCTATCTAAAAAACTAATCTCTCCTGCTTCTTCTCCAGAAGCACTCGTAATCTCTAATAATAAACAATATGCTTGGCATATGCTATATCGCTAATCACATAAACAGTGACATTCTACTTGTTCTTCAAACCTTCCACACCTGGCTCCTCAACTGTTCCTTCCTCCATGTCTGTCCAGTCAATGGATTACTTGTCAGTGGACTTGATCACTACCATATTCTGATCTGAATCAGTTTGTTAATCTCCTTCCTCTCAGGCACTGCACCTTTTTCCTGGGGATAAATGTGCAAGCAAGGCAGTCCCCAGAGTCCTCCAGGTTCCCTCTCCATGCCTTCACTGTCACTCCCAGAGGGGCTCACTAACAAAAAAAGTCACCAGCAAAAACCTGACTCTAGCTTCATCATCTTGAGAGGCTTCCTTGTTTTCCATAAATTTAGACCAACTACCAATTTCTGGAAAAATCTGAAAGAGAAGTGAAATCGTTTCAAGGGTTGGGTGAGAGCTTATGAAACGGCAGTTTCACCTTACCAATATGGGATAAGCTTCCTTGTGTCATCAAGTTCCAAAACTCACAAATTAGTTGCCCCTCCATTTTTCCTTGATGTTATCCATACAAGTCATTCGCTGTTTCTCTTCAGCTTATACTGGATCCCAAAATGACTGCTCTAAATCCTTAGGTGAGAATCATCGAAAACATGTAAAGGGCGCATTCCTTCCAACTCATGTGCAGGGCACTGACAGTGTCAATACGCTGGGACTCCAAACGCAAACAGAATATAACTGGTGCCCTCGTGGAGCCCACGCTTTTCCTTCAACTTTAAAAAAGGTGTGTCCTCCCTGTGCAGCGTTCAATGCAACGTAGTGACAAAGTACTCCGTAGCTTTGGAGAAACAGAGCGTGGAAACAGACTTTGCTCTTATATTTGATGGCCTGTAACCATAACAACCTATGGTTAAGTAACCATCAACTCGGTGAGAGGCTAAGTTTTCCAAAAACCGTTTTCAATGGGGGAAAAACTCCCTTGCACCAACTCCAGCGAGGGTGAGCGCCCTGGGCGGCGTGTGCTGCAATCCAGCGGGCTGTTCCCTTTCTGCTCCCGGTCCCAGCGTTTCGACTTTGGGCTCAGCAGCTAGCAGCCAGCAGCTACGGCCGCCACCGTCAACCCAGCGCTCCTGGCGGGGCAGCTGGCGTTAGGCCTCAACCCAATGTCACTTGTTAACCTTCCGATCCCCGGGGTTTTGGCGCGCCGCCGCCCCCTTCTATGGCAAACAAACCACCCCACGGCCACCCACAGCAACGACCACCGGCGTTTTCCCGGAGTAGGAGGAAAAACAAACGAGGCGCAGACAACCTCTGACAGATTCGTGTAAAAGTAACTGCGTCCCCTCGACTTCTAAGCATTTCGTGACGTGGGCGAGGGGGGCGGCAAGAACCTGGGGCCCCATTCATAAAAGTGCAAGCTCTTCTCCTTTAGTGAGAGTATGGACGCTGCCTCCCTGCCGGGTTCGAGCCCGCGCCCCGGGACGACAGCCTGGGGACCGCCGGTCGGCACCTCCGGCCCGGGTCCAGCCCAAACTGCCTGGCACGGCCCCGAAGGAGGAAGGTTCGCCTGGGGGGGCGTAGTGGGCCGGCGTCCTGGTCCATACCCGGGCCAAGACAGCGGGGCGGGACCGCAGACCCTGAGCCCCGCCGCGCCAACGGCCGCCGGACCCGGCCGGTACCGCGGACCTGTGGGGTCAGGCCGGCCCCAGCCCAGGCCTTCTCCTGAGGCGCTCCCTCCGCCGCCCCACCCGGGCCCGGGAGCGCTCACCCCGGATCCGCTGGCTGCCTCATGGTACTGCGCCGGCGCCCGTGCTCCGCGGCCACCGCGGCTCGGGCTCCGGCTCCTGCTCCTGCTCTCCAGCCGCGGTCCTGCAGCCCGCCCGCCCCCGGGCACCGGCCGCCCCGCCCCGCCGGCGGACCCGCCCCGCGCCCGCCGCCACTGCCGCCAACCAGAGGGCGGCGGGGCGGAGCAAGCCGCGCTCTAGGCCCGACCAATCCAACCCCTACCGCGCTCCGAGGAACGGCCGTGGAAATAGGCGGGTGATTCGTCTGGGCTGTTAAAGGGGCCGCTGCCCTGTGGACCGGAGGAAGGGGCGGCGGCTGGAGGCAGCAGGGTGTGGGATGTTACATGAAAGAATCCCAGGTGAGCCTCCCTCTCCTGGCGCTTTCCCTAGGTTTTTGCACTTCTTAATTTCCTCTTCCTGCATCCTAGCAACAAATGCCCCTGACAGAGGGAAACTGAGGCTCCGAGAATCAATGATGTCTAGTTCGTCAGACACATCTGTCCCCGTCCAAATTCAGAAATTGGCTTTAAAAGACAAATTACCAGTCTCCCCCACACTTCTGCAACATCCAGTTCCAAACGGAATCTGTTGTTAGTTTTTTGTTACTTTGGTGTTTGTTTTTGAACTGTGATTGAACCCATGGGCGCTTTACCACTGAACTACATCCCCATCTTTTTTTTTTTTTTTTTAATTTTGAGACAGGGTCTCACTAAGATAAAAGGCCGGCCTTGAACTTGTGATCCTTCTTCCTCGTCTCCAGAGTTGCTGGGATTACTGATGTGCACCACCATGCATGACTTGTGACTAGGTATAAGAGCTTAGAACTCATCTAATATATTCATTTTTAGAGAGGCAATGTCTGAGTCCAGGAGAGGAAAAGTAACTTCTAGAGGTGAATTCTCACTTGGAATGAGCTTCCCCTATGTCACATACTCAGTAATCTCAGCGATTTGGGAGGCTGAAGCAGGAGGATTGCAAGTTTAATATCTGCCTCAGCAATTTAGCAAATCCTTACTGAAACCCTGTCTCAAAATAGAAAGTAAAAAGGACTGGGGATGTAGTTCAGTGGTAAAACACTCCTTGGGTTCCCAGGACATCCCCCCACCCCCACCAAAAAAAACAAACAAACAAGAATGGGCTTCTTGGGGTGCTGATCCAGCCCATTTTACCTGTCTCATTTGTGATCCTGAGGTAGCAAGCTGAACTGGCACACCACATTGACATATTTGGAGAGTTCTCTTATCCACATTTCATCATATTGTCAGTAGATCCCAAACATTAGTATCAGCATCTGAGAGGAATTTAACATGCAGATTCCCTAAGTCCCACCCAAGAGTCTTTAATCCACTGTATCTGGTCAGCCTGGGGGAAATATGCATTTATTTTTCAACACCTCCCCTCAGAGTCTCTGGTTGCTCCAAAGACCACGCTCACATGTATATTTCAAAAATATATGAAATCCAAATTCAACTGCCCAAAATAAATCCAAACTCCTTTTTATCCTCAAAATAAGTATGGTTGGGGGGACTTGCTGATACAGCTAGAGGTCACCTTCTGAGAAACTCAGAATGGTTCCGTTCCCTGAATGGGTCTTGCCAAGAACCAAATTTAGAAAAGCATTCTATCTGGAAGCAAAAGCTGAAAACTTGAAATCCTGGGAGAGGGAAGGGCAAGGTCAAGGCCTAGAACTCAAGGAAGTCATCCTTGTTCTTGAGACAATGTGTAAATATTGTTAAGGCAAACACACCCTTGCTCATTCTCATTTCTAGGCCTGTCATAACCTTGGTAGGATGCCCTATCCCTTTAATGCCTCATTGCGAAGTCATCAAGCCCTGACCACCCACCAGGCCACATTCCTTTCCCTGTCCCAGAGTAGACACCTGGGTACCCAGAAATCACTGTCCTGGACTTGAGGTCAACCCCTTCCCACACAGATTACTAGTTCTTGGAGTGGCCTCCATACAACAACCCTTTTTTGCTCTGCATGTGATAGGGATGCCTGTGCATCAGGTTGACTGACCTTGTCAGAATTGAATCTCCAGGTTGCAGGCATCACCCACTAGGATCACCACTTACATGCCTAGGCCTTCCCAAAAGAAAGGAATTTCATGATAGGAGAGGACTCTGATCATGGATACCTAGAAATGTGCACCAATGGCAGTTATTTATGGAGCTACAGCTTGAAACTCTTTTGGGCCACATCTCCAAACCCCCAACTCAGAAGGTGGTGCCTAGATCTACACTCTTTCAAGGGCCCTTGGAAGCTAGCAGTATGCCCCTTAGAGTACCCACCTCCCCCCTTGCCCATATCCAGCTTTATATAGATTTTAGATTAATCAACATGTCATCAACATGACCTCAAACAAAGGGTAGAAAGATTCAGCATGAACACTAAGAAGGAGCTCTTCCTTTTGAAAAGTGAGGAATTCAGGTGCTTTAAGAAAATAAATGAACATATGATAACAAAATATTAAAACATCCTATTCATTAAGAGATTACTCTGCTTTAGATACTGTGCCAATTCCTATATATATATTAATTCACTGAAACCTTACATTAACCCTATGGGGTAGATATGATTGCTATTTTCTTCATTTTATAGATGCAGAAACTGAAACTCACAGAGAATTGGTGATATGTCCAAATAGCAGGGCCAGTTAAAGGAAGAACCAGTATTCATGGCCCTAAGGACGAGGTTCTTCCTAACAGTGCCTGCCAAAATGCCTTCTTGCTGCCAGAAACAGGATGAATAACTTCAAAAAGCAAAAGAAGCAAATATCACTAATCTGTATCCAAAGGAAATATAATATAGGACAGCCTTAGAGTTGAAGTTCCATTGCTTTTAACTTACCATTAGCTTGACCTTGATTTGACCAAGTTATATAATTAAATCTTGTTGAGTCTCAGATCGCTTATCTATCAAATGGGAACGATAAATTCTGTCTCCTTAGGCTGGCATGAAAATCAAATTAAATGAAGAACATGTGTGACTCTACAGATGGTCCTCAACTTATGATGGTTTTATGTATCATTTTTATTTGTTTATATGGTTCCAGGGATTGAACCCAGGGACACTTAAACACTGAGCCATATCTCTAGCCCTTTTTATTCTCTGAGGCAGGGTTTGGCTAAGTAGCTTAGGGCCTCTCTAAGTTGCTGAGACTGGCTTTGAACTTTCAATCCTCCTGCCTCATCCTCCCAAGCCACTGGGATTACAGGCATGCGCCATTGCACCCAATGATTTTTTTTTTACTTTACGATGGCATGAACATAATCGACATTAAGTAGAGGCCACACTTTGAATTTTTATCTTTTCTTAGGGAAGAAATATGTGGTAGGATACTCTCTTGATGCTGGGCATTGGCAGTGAGCCCAGCTCCCATGAGCCATATGACCTTGACAGGAATTGACCAATACTCTACAGTACAGAGCTGTGCCAGTAGAGAGCTAAGCCACAATGGTCAGTAGACTAGGTGTATTAAGTGCATTTTTGACTTACACGTTTTCAGTTTATGGTGGGGTTATTATAACTCCATCATGAGTCAAGAAGCATATGTGCAGATACTTTGAACACACAAATGAAAAGAATGATTTTAGAGCTTGGTGTCTGTGACTCATTGCAGTGGCCTCTGACAAAGGTCAGGAGTGAGGGTGCTAAATATCAAGCAAGATCTTTACTTTGTCCCCCAAACAGCTGTTCTATATGCATAGCATGTACAAAGTGAACTAATATTTTCTACAATAGGATCTTCTTTATTTTTGGTGCTTGGGATTAAACTCAGGGCTGTGTACATGGTAGGCAAGCACTCTACCACTAAGCTACATCCCCAGCTCTAGGATCTTAAATCACAGAAATCCAAGCCCAAATTATGACTCTGTCTTCTCCCAGCCTCACCCCAGACTCTCTCAATCCAGGCTTCAGCTATCCGTTAAACCTTCGTGGGTTTTGGCATACTTGAATTATTTTCAGTTATGACATTTCAAGGTAATCCTTATTGTTTCCTGAATCTCAAAACAAAACCAAAGGTACTCTGTAATCTTTAATTCCATTTTTGACACTGCATTGTACTTTTGGAGGGAGAAACAGTTAAGAAGTATAAAAAAAAATAATCGATCCACTTATACATTTAACAAAGGTTAGGAATCCAGTGCCACAGGCTGTACTATATTAATCAGTGATCACCAAGCACTCAGGAAATACGGGGTGGTGTGTGGAGAACAGTAGGGATGGAGATGAAGCCATCTTCAGCAGAGCCAGGTGGACTTGTCACACCACCTCTATCAGAGAAAGGCTGACACGTTGGTAGATCATTACATCTCCCTTAGAGGTAAGCCCAGGAGCTGTGGGGCAAGAATTGGCCCTTATGACCCCTGGGGAACCTCAATACCATTTCTAGGGTAGCCAGATGGAAGTTTTTAAGAGGAACCAGAAAAGTGATAAAAACCCAAATAAGAATGTTGTCACCAAAGCAAAGGGAGAAGCGATTGGAGGACAGAGGAGCCAACACTAACACGTGGCTCAGAGGTGTCAAGTCAGAAAGGGTCTGAAAAGTCTAGAATTTCTTGGGATTTGGAAATCAGAAAGTTAGGGCTTGGGGTGTAGCTCAGTGGATAAGTGTGCAGTTGAGCATGGGTGAGGCCCTGGGTTTGATCCCCAGCGCCAGGAAAACCAAACTGCAACAGAGAAGGTTACTTGGGGTCATCGGCAATATCAATGCAGTTGGGGCTGGAAAGACAGAGGCTCTCTAGAGCCAGGCTGAGCAGAAGTACTAAAGCGGGGACAAAGAATGAATGGGACAGGGGCTGGGGTTGTGGCTCAGTGGTAGAGTGCTTGCCTCGCACGTGCGAGGCCCTGGGTTCAAGCCTCAGCACCACATAAAAATAAATAAACAAAATAAAGATATTGTGTCCATGTATAACTAAAAAAATATATTTTTAAAAAATAAGAAAAGAAAAGAATGAATGGGACAGGATCGAAAGACATCCAGGGGGTAGGAGTTACCCGAGCAGGAAGAGGGTCTTCTCTTCCTGGAGACAAGCTGGATGCCGGGTTGGTGGGGTGCACAGTCATTCATAGGCGGAAGACAGGAAGCAGAGGGAAACTCCTGCCTGGTGGCGTCTGGGTTTTAGCTCATAAGTAGGAAGGAAAGCCATCTCTTGGGAGTGGGTGGGGAAGCGATAACCAGGGGGCTTTGTGGGAAGCAGTGAGGACTGGAAAGGCCACTGAGAGGAATAAAAGAGGGAGCTGCCAATGGAGAGGGAGAATTCCGGGCAGCCCCAAGGGCTGGTGCATTTGAGGCAGAACCAGGGCTGTGGGAAGCCCAAGGAGAGGGTGGACAGGAGGGAAGATGGCAAAACCAGACTTTGTGCTCATTCAGAGAAGACCAGGTGGCCACAGGGCAATAATTCTGAGGGTGACAAGGTCCTGTGTGCCACAGAAGTAGTTTCTAAAGTTACCCAAAAAGAAAGTTTTCAGAAGCTTTATATACCCTCAGATTGATGCTCATGTGAGTAATTCCTGCCATAAAGGAGCCATGAGCAATGGATTATTCACTTTGCTGGTTAGCATGTGAGATCCGAGGTTTGTTTTTTTTTTTTTTAATATTTATTTATTTATTTTTTAGGTGTAGATGGACAAAACACAATACCTTTATTTTTATGTGGTGCTGAGGATCGAACCCGGGTCCCGCCCGTGCTACGTGAGCACTCTACTGCTGAGCCACAGTTCCAGCCTGAGATCCACGGTTATTAAATATAACTGTCTCAAAGTTCTGTCGTTCCAAGGTCCATTGGGGAACAATGGCTTCTAATTGATGTGGAGCAGGGTCAGAGTAGAATTTCTAGGGAGAAAAACTGACCTGTCCTCCCTTTCCCTCCTGACTGTGTGCCTGCCTCTCAGGGTCCTTCCCAACGCTCAGTAGGGAGAAGGAATCCACCGTCAGTCTTCAATGCCCCACCCTTCCTCTAGCACCTCAGCATGGCTACCCCATGGTGGTTTTGGTCTGCCTTTAGTATCTTTTTGCTATACTGAAGACTGAACTCAGGGGTGTTCTACCACTGAGCTACACCCCAGCCCTTTTTATTTGTTTTGTTTTGTTTGTTTGTTTGTTTTAATTTGGAGATAGGGTCTCACTAAATTGCTGAGGATCTTGCCAGTTTGCCCAGGCTGGCCTCAAATTTGCCATCCCCCTACCTCAGACTGAGTTGCTGAGATGGCAGGCATGTGCCATTGCACCTGGCTCTTATATGGATCTTAAATGTCCCCCAGAGGCCCACGTGACAAAGGCTTAGTCCCCACATTGGTGCTGTTGGGTGTAGGCAGAAATTTTAAGGGATGGGGCCTGGGGGGTGGTCTTCTGGTCACTTGGTGTATGGGACCCCAGCTCCTCCTTCTCCCTCTCTCTTTCAAGAAGTACGGGGTGGTGTGTGGAGAACAGTAGGGATAGAGATGAAGCCATCTGTAGCAGGGCCAGGTGGACTTGTCACACCACCTCTATCAGAGAAAGGCTGACAAGTTGATAGGTCATTAGTCTCCCTCAGAGGTAAGCCCAGCAGCTGTGGGGCAAGAATAGGCCCTTTTAACCCCTGGGGAACCTCAATGCCATACTATCAATACGATCAGGTGGGCAGTTTGCTCCACCATGTGTTCTAAGATGTATTTCCTCACCGCAGGCCCAAAGCAACAGGGTCGATCATCCAAAATGGTGAACCAAAAGGAACCTTTTCTCTGAAGGTTGATTCGTCTCAGGTATGTGTTACAGTAACGGAAAGCTGACCATTTATACCCACTAGCCTTGCTGCCCTCCAACCACAAGGCCTTCTGCTCATAACCACCATCCTCCTGCCTCTACTCCAGCATGGGAAATCCGATCTTGAGTTTGCCCTGAATCACCCTGGAGCACAGTTCTAACTCCAGGGATGGAGGGGTCAGCATCACAACCCACAGGTACTGGCTTCCACCCTGCAGTGGCTAAACCCCATCTGCACACATCACAGCTTAAGTTACAGAGGTGGAAGGCTCCATTGGCCACTTGAAGTCACATACACACACACCTAAACACAGACTGGGGCATTGTTTGGTTGTTTAAACCTTGAAATGGTGATTGATACCTCATGATATAGAGTAGCCAGAAGTGGGAAATATTTGCTCCCTACCAGGTTGTTAAACAGAATCGTGAATGGAAATGATGGACTCAATTAACCTTTGCCATTTCCACGCAGATACTCGGCATCTGTTCCATTCAGAAGACAAGGATGATCATTCAGGTGAGAGCTTAAGCCCAGAAAATATTTAAATCTGTTTTGGCCAGGGTTACCTATAAAGGGATTGAGACAAACAGGGGCTCTTTACCACTGAGCCATAATCTCTTTTCTTTTTTTATGTTTTATTTTGAGACAGGATCTCATTAAGCTTCCGAGGGTCTTGTTAAATTGCTGAGGCTGGCCTCAAACTTGTGGTCCTCCTGCTTCAGCCTCCCAAATTGCTAGTATTACTGGTGTGTACCACCTGGTCTGGTTATGATATTCTTTTTAAGGAAGCATTAAGCTAGTAGCTGTGGGCCCATCTTGACCTGGGTTGTAGGCCTGCTTCTATCATTTCTAGTCATGTGACCTTGGAGAAGTTATTTAATCTCCCTGACCCCCAACTTCCTCATCTACAAATTGAAGGTGTTCACATTATATATTATTATAAAGATTAATTGTTTGCAGGGAGTGATGACACATTCCTATAATCCCAGTGACTCAGGAGGCTGAGGCAAGAGGATGGTAAATTCAAGGCCAGCCTCAGCAATTTAGCAAGACCGTGACTCAAAATAAAAAAAAATAATAAATGGTTGGGGATGTAGCTCAGTGGTAAAGCACCCTGAGTTCAATCCCCAGTATGGCCAAAAAAAAAAAATTTAATGTATGTAAAACACACAATATCTTTACATAATTGGTGCCCAATTTAATGGTTGCTATTGTTTTTTACTCTAGAGAAAATTACTAAGCACAGAATGTGATGCATGTAAGAACTCAATGGGGTGATGTGCTTAAGTCTCAAAAAAATAGAAGTGAAAGATGTCCCATGGAAGAAACCAAAAAACACTTCTAATATTTGAAACAACCAAAAGGCTCTTGTCTTATAGTGACTGTAGATCTTGGGGTTTCCAGGATTTCACCCTGGAAATAATCTCTCTCATTGTTCTGGTATACAAACTTATATTTGAGAGAGTCACCCTGATCTTGGACCAGAAAACAGCATTATAGGTCTAACCATCAAAAAGCCCATCAGTGGATGAATGGAAAAAGCAAGTGCAGTATATAGACACAGTGGAGGAAAAATCAAGTGCAGTATATAGACACAGTGGAGTATTATTCAACCATAAAGAAGAACAAAGTCATGTCATTTGGAGGAAAAAGGATAGACCTGGAGTTTGTCATGTTAAGTTAAATAAGCAAAAGTTTAAAAGGCAAGTATCACATATTTTCTCTCATCTGTAGAATCTAGAAAGAGAAAGAAGTATGATGTGAAAGCAGAAGGGAGACTACTAGGAAAGGGGAACAGGACAGGGTGGAGCGGATGGGGAGGGTGGACACAACCAAAGTCTGTTACATGCATCTGTGAAATTGTCACAATGAAACCCACTATTGGGTACAGTTAATATGCACAACTAATTATAATTTTTATGTTTAAAAAAGAAGAAGGAGTGGGGTGTGGTGGTGCATGCCTGCAATCCCAGTGGTTTGGGAGCCTGAGGCAAGAGGATCCCAAGTTCAAAGACAGCCTCAGCAACTTAGCAGAGACCCTGTTTTAAAATAAAGAAAGGACTGAAGATGGCTCCTTGGTAAAGAACCCCTGGATTCCATCCCTAGTCCAAAGAGGAGGAGGAGAAGGAGGGCAAACAGCACTGGGAAAACAACTCACCCCTGGCAGATCAGAGACCCACACCTCCTTCCCAGGAGGCTCTTCCTCAACACCTCACCTGAGAGGGCAGCTTGGTTTTCACAGGTGAACTCAAGAAGCATGCGCTGGAGACACCATAAATATCCCACTGTGCCAAGGCAGAGGAGGAAGGGGGGGGCAGGTGGAGGACTCCACCCCCACCTCCAACCCCCCAGCAACCGCCTCTCCTGCTGTGCCTCTGCGATCCACCACAGCAGGAAATGGTTTGGGTTTTTCTGTTATGAATGCAATAGAAGCTCATTTTAGAATATTAAAAGATAAAAAATATAGAAACACAGAAGGAAGAAAACACCCATTTTCTTCCAGCCTTCTAACAATTATCAAAACATGATGTTTCCCTTTGTTCTTTTACATAACTGTTTTTTTGAACCATATACAATCTTGTATTCTCTCTATAAAACTTAACATTATTGCATATGAACAGTCATATCGCATGAGGCAAAGAAGGGTTTGACTTGGAGTCAGAAGAGCTGATCATTAATTCCATCTCTGCCACTTGCTGTATGTCTCACCTTTCCTGAGTCTCAGGTTTACCTATAATGAAGAGGAGAGAAACATCCATTCTCGGCCACTAGTTTTCTCTGTGGTCCTCTAGACAATAAGCTCCGTGACTGATCCTCTGTTAAATCCATACAGTCTGGCTCAGTGGATTAGAGACGGTCATTCTCTCCATCCACAGGTACAACTTATTTTTCCATTCTCTGGAATCTTGGACTGGGCTTGTGTGATAGCCAGTCTCCAAAATGGTCTCCCATTGATCCTCACTTATTGGTCATTCCTGCCCTGTTTCATAGTCTCCTCTCACCACGGACCAAGGTTGGTTTGTGTGACAAACAGAGAATGGCAGAGGAGACAGTGTATGATGTTTCAGGCTAGCTCATACAGGGCATTCAGGCTTCTTTGTCTCACATCACTCCATCCGGGAAAAGCAGCCGCCATGTTGTGAAGACACTCCAGCAAACTGTGGAGAGGTTTATGTGCAGAAGAGCTGAGGCCTCCTGCCTATAGCCTGCACCAATTAGCCAACTGTATGAGTGAGCCATCTTGGAAATGGGTTCTGTGGTCCTGTAAGTCAAGCCTTCAGATGGGTGCAGCTCTGGCTGACATTTTAACTGCATCTTCTGAGAGTCCCCACACCAGAAATGGTCAGAAAACCTGTTCTGTACTCCCCCATGCACAGAAATGGGAGAGGTAAATGATTATTGTCAACTTAAACCACTAACTCTTGGGATTATTTGTTATGCAACATACTTAATGAATACACCCTATGATTGGCTTTGACCAATAAAATGAAGTAGAAATGATATTCTGGGACTTCCAAGCCCAAGCCTCAAGAGGACTGAAGCTTTTGCTTCCTGGCTCTTACAGCCTAGCCACCATGCTGTTAAAAGCTCAAGCCATCCTGCCAAGTGTGGCAGCACATACCTGTAATCCTAGTGACTCTGGAGGCTGAGACAGGAGGATCACTAGTTCGAAGCCAGCCTCAGCAACTGTGAGGCACTAAGTAACTCAGTGAGACCCCGTCTCAGAATATAATACAAAATAGGGCTGGGGATGTGACTCAGTGGCCAAGTGCCTCTTAGTTCAATCCCCTGTACCCCCCCCACAAAAAACTATGTACTATTCTGCATAATTAATCTCCTTCAATGCTAGGCTTAATTCACAATTATACCATGAATATTAATCCATACTTAATATATTGCAGAGCTTTATTGAGTTAACAAATATTTAAGATGTTTTCTTGTCTATGGAAAGTACATTATATTAACACTTCTCTTTTGGTTTAAATTGAACAAGGAATAGTGAACTAGAGTAAAGGTGTTCTTTGGGGACTTTTTCACTTACATTATTCTAAATTATTAAAATTATTAAATACCTACTTCTGACTTCTTTTATGAAAACTTTTCAAGAAAACTTTCATTCTGTATATCCTCACCCTACTCATTTAAACTTGTTTTCTCTTGTGGTTTTTGAATGTTACTGAAATAATAAAGTAGTTCTGGAACAGGAAAAAAAAATCTCAAGCCACATAGAGAAGTCACAAGGAAAAGACCCGAGGCACCCCAGGTGGAATCCCCAGCTCGCCTCCCAGCCAACAGCTCAAATACCCACCCCGGTGGGCAAGCCACTGTGGAGGCCCAGCTGAGCCGTGCCCTAGACACTTGCAGTGGTGGCTAGCATGCCAGGGTGAGGAACACACAGCCCAACTCCTTCAACTCAGAAATGCGGGAGATACTCTAATGGCTGTTGTGTGGAGCCTGTGAGTTGGGGGTGATGTTTTATGCAGCAATGTTTTAACCCTAACATTGGGCGAGCCCCTGGCATGTAATTACCTCTTGAGAAATATCTGGGGAGTAAATGAATGGCGCTTGATGGGGCTCAGCTTCCTCTTCTATAAAAGTGCAGAGGTTGGGCCAACTCATGCCTTCCGTTCTGTGTTTCTCCCTTTCCCTGCTGGGCTGTGTGTGCCCACCTGGCCTGCCAGGGCTCTCACTTTATCCTTGCAGGAAGACTTCAGGGTCTGTGGCATCTCTGACCACCACCACCACCCCCTGCCCCCCACCCCAGCTGGTTCTTCCTTCCATGCTCAAATACCCCAGGCACCTGCCTCCTCGTGAAACGGTCCTGGTGATTTCTATCATGGGTCTGTGTAGCTCGTCAGGAAGAGAGCAGCAGAGGACCTCCACCTTACAAGTGGTCCCTGCTCCATTCATTAGAGGAAATTGGGTCCCCGGGACAGATCAATTGCAAGCTACATTTGCCATTTGGCCCTCCTCTGGCCAATCCTGTAGCTGAATACTGGTTGGAAAATGACTGACCTCTTTCCCAGAGTCCAGGACCTGGGCTGTTTCCTGACACAGAGAGGAGGTCTCTGCTTCGTGAAGGAATGCTCAGCCTCTGGTTTATTAGGTCCCTTTATTTGCCACAGAGGCTACACAGTTACTTTCATTAGCAGGCCTCATAGTCACTAGAGGTAGGGGAGATCTCTATCATTCCCATCAAAAAAGAAATAAATAAAAAGGAAAGGAGACGTCAAGTAGCTAGCCTAAGGTCACAAAGCAAACCCCAGCTTACTGGTGGAACTGGAATTGCCTCCCTTCTATTTCCAACCCCTCACCCCACCCTCCTACACCTATTTTGCCTCCTAAGTCACACTGAGCAATCCTCATGTGACCCACTTAAATCATTATTGAGAGCAATTGGTCCTTCCTGATTGTAAGTCATCCCCAAACCATCATCATTATTATAATTGGTAAAGCCTCCCTCTCTAGGCTATGAAGGTACCTGTCCCAGACTTAAGAAATCACTCAATTTCTGGAGGTTGGGAGGAACTAGATGTCATTCGTCAATCCAGGCAAGAAATTCTGATTAAGCACATGATGGGCCCTACAAGCCCTGCCAGGTGCTGGAGAAACAGCAGGTTGCAAACCCGGGCTCTGCCACCAGGAGCTTGAGTCTAGCAGGAAATGCCAAAGTCCTTCCTCTGCTTTTGTGCCAATTATGATGGTAACTGTCATAGATCCCAGTCTAGCTCATGGTGTAGTTTTCATACTATAAAACAAAGGAGAAAAATCCCAGCCTCCACCCTATGCCCCAGACTGATCCAAGGGCCTGCTTGGTCTCATCTCTCGAAGGCCAATAGTCACCTCCAGCTAACATGTCTCAAGCAGAGCTCGGCCCCTGCCTCCCCATCTTGTCAATGGCACCTCTACACATTTGCTCACATCAAGGTGAGTTGCCCCTTCTAGGTCACATCCAACCGGTAAGTGAGTCCCATACTGGGCACCTCCAAACCTGTTTCCTTCTGTCTCCATGGTCACCATCATCTCTCACATGACCTGTGTTTACTCAATGATTCCTCTTTAAATTGATAATTCCAAACTTTAAATGGACACTGCACCTGCCCAGCAAGCTTATACTTGCTAAGTAAGTTCATGTCCCCACTCTCTGAGAAAAATGGTGGGTGCTCTTTATGCAGAACCCAGCATCTTCCCTCCCACCTGATGCTCTTGCCTCCCTTTTTCCTGGAAGTGGGGTCCAGAACCCCCCGCCCCCCACATACACTTGTGCTTGCACGCACACACGTCCTCAGCACAAGTCCATATACCTGTGGCCTCTGGACACAACCTCTCTCTTTTCTATCCTTGATACTAGGGAAGGCCTGGCCCCTCTGACTCCCTGAGAGCCACCTACTGCAGCCACCGCCCTCTTTATCCTGCACACACAGCTTGTTCCTGTTCACTGGCTCATTCCCATTAACATATACTCAACTCTCTTCCCCTGAGAAATTACCCCCTCCTCCTGCTGCCCCATTCTACTGTCCTCGACAGCAAAAGCTCGAAAGAGCCTTCTTCCTGTCCTCTCCAACCTGTTCCAAAGTGGCTTCAGCCAACATCAACGCCCTGAACCTGATGCTCTGTCAGATCACGGTGCTCTCTACAGTGCCACACCTCTCAGTCTGTCTTCCTTGATCCTTTCTCAATCCTTTTAAAACACTTGTTCAATAAGAGCCTTATGGAAGGTGACTGTATTGGTCTGAGCTCCTGCACTAGGCCCCAACAGACCAGACCCGACCAAAATGGAGTCACTCAGCTAAATGCCACATGATGAAACTGAGAATTTAGGGAAGCTGGTAGATGCCAAGAGAGACCAGTTTTTCTTGCAAACTGGACATTCTGGTCCACCAGAGCCAGCCTAATAAGGAAGTTACAGAAAAAGTAACCTGAAATAACCTGATGTTAACCAATCTTTTTTTTCCCCATTGTTCTATTTCCTTGTTCTCACCTTACAAAATCTACTATTCAGCTATTGCCCAGGCAACTCTCAATCTATCCATGAAATGCAAGTAAAAGCCTGTTAAATCTTTAAATTTGCTGTAATTTTGTCTTTCGACTCATCTATTGGCCAAGTCTCAACTCATCCAAGCCTCGTCATCTTGGCCTGGTCTCTGGGATTCTCTCTAGGTGGTGGTGGACAGAGTCCCAGGTCATATATTTCTGGTGGTCTGTTTCATATGCTGCAGATCCAACCTGATCCTCTGGTCCCAGGAAGTATGAGTGGGAACATGAGCAGGACAGGCCATAGGATGTCCACCATAGTCACCAATGTGCCCACGAACCTGTTTTCTTCATCTTGTACACAGGAACAGAGATGGAAAAGGAAAAAAAAAATTGAAAACAGGGAGTTAGAGGATTTCTGGTGTTTTTCTCCTCTCAGTGACCACGATTACTGCTCTAATGGTGTTTGAGCAACTGAGAAAAGTTAGATGCCAAAGAAATAAGATTCCTGATAAGAGGATTTGGTGCTCACCGGCAGGGAGCTCGCCTTTGGGTGAAGAGCAGGGAGGAGACTCATGGAAATGACCTGCTCACCATTGCCCTGAAGGATGGGACCGCCCAAGGCCTAGCTGGGTTTGGATCTCATTTCAAGAACTCAGCTACAGAATTCATGTATCTGCTTATAATTCTGTTAATCTCTGTGCTGACAAAGACTGCCCCAGGGAACAACTTGAAGCCCCTCGGCCTTTCCTCCCTTTCTGGAGATCCCGCCACACAGAATCCCCACCTTTTCATCACTACCCACCTCCTGCTTCTCAGACCCTCTCACCTCCGCCAGAATCTGGGATTTATGTTCTCCTTTCTCCAAAGACAAAAATCAAGCTCGTTACCCTAGCAACCACTTTCTTTGGCCCTGGCTTATAAATTGCGAGTCTCCTAGGTCCCCCTGGTCCTCTCTTGCCCACTGTGTATCTGCTTGGTGGCTCTATTGATCTCTCCCCCTGGACTACAGCCTCCTGGAGGGCAGGACCAGGCTCCCTCCTTCCCCTAGACCAGGCCATCACAGGCCCTCAATAAACACTGTTGAGGAACGATGTCCACCTAGAGATGGCGAAGGCCTTTCTCTGGGCCTGTTGGGCTCTTGCTATGTAGATAATAACGAAACCTGGCACCAAATTAAATGGACACACTAGTCAGAGAGTTAAGTCATGGTAATGACCAATGAAACAGTGGTAATAATCATATCCACCTCATGGTAGAAGCACTGTCATTTGAGGATAAGGAAAAATATACACAAACCAACAACCAGCTTGCCTGGTTCCCAGTAAGCCCTCAATCTGTACTCATTGTAATGTAGACCTGTTTATGAAGAATGCATAGTAATGCTGAAAATTATTGTAATGTCAAGTTTTCAAATGATAATTATACATACCATACAACAACCAGTAAGGAAAATAAAATGTTTATCATTGAGTGGTGATTTCCTATCATCTCCCTTTCCCCTCACTCTGCTATCATAAAAGGTGTGAGAGCTTATTGCAGAAAATCTGGGGGAAAAAAAATCTGAGGTTGGATCATTTAGGAAAGGGGCAATTTTGAGATTTTTCTTTTTTTAAGCCTAGAATGCCGACCACGCCCTCCTTGGTATTTGCTACCAAGCCCATTAGCGCTACCGTGTGGTCAAACTGAGCAACTGTTCTTGAACAAAAAAACCAAACCAACCAGTGAAGAATTAAACTGATGATGAAATAACTCTGCAAGTAGTATTAATGTCACATAGGACCACCAGCCCTGGGGCTTCAAACCCCAAATCCATCTCAGTCTATGGCATCAGCGGGTATCCCAAGGGCCTCATGTAATTGTGGTCAGGTGAGGAATGTGGCTCCAATATGTCATATTGATACTGAGGAAAAGCCTAAACACACTCTCCAGCTTCATTTGCTCTGAGTTGATGTAAAGATCACTCATTTCGGAGGTCACACAGCTGGGCAATACATCATTAGTCTCCCTCTTCACTTGGGCCAGCAGATGCCCCATGGGTGATTGGAACAAGAGGAAAAAGCTCAACATCTCTGCCTTCAGACGGTCTGTCTCCTTTGCT